TGAGTAGGAACCTGGTTGTGAGTCAATTGGCGGATCGCTTTCCGGGGGGTAATAATCCCACCACAAACAGAAGAAAATCGGTCAATCATTCCACGACTGTTTGTGGGACGCTGCTGTACCCAATCGGCTGCCGCGTTTCGCCCACAAAATATACAGTCAATCCGCTTTGCAATATATTCTGTGAAGCGCTTTGAGACGTCTCAACGCAGTGATGAGGCGCGAAATCAAATGTAAGGATTATTGTTATTATCGTTTATTTTGTGATGCCAGATGAGCATAAGGTGTGGTGGGGTGTGGAGGCGGTGGTTGGCTTTCTCTGCTGCGTTCACGGCCCCTCTCTCTCCCTCTTGACTGGTTTTTGCTCTGTGTTCAGGCGGAACACGTCGCATGCTGGAGATAACGTTTTCCCGTGTTTACTTTAAATCTCGGAGGCATATCAGTGCTGTCCACGGCAGCCTGGAGACCTTATTGTTAATATTTGTTCTAATATTTTACTCGCTGCCGTTATGGCCGGGAGTGGGTGGGGGAGCAACAGGGCAAGAAGGAGGAAGGAAAAGGATGCGTTTAGCCAGCAGATTTGTTGATGGCGATGCAATAGGCAGGGGATTGGAACCTAGGTTTGCACAGGGCTGAGCGAATAATCCTTGCATCTGTTATAGCTCCTTCTCACGTCGTTGAGACGTCTCAAAGCGCTTCACAGAATATACCATCAAGTGAATTGACTGTGCACCTTGTGGGCGAAACGCGGCAGCCAATTGCGCACAGCAGTCGTGGATTTTAGACGCAGCAGGTAGCGTGGCACATGGAGGTGTCTCGTGCTATCGCCAGCTGTTTGGGTATTTGAGTCGAAGAAAGCTCTGGTGGTTTAAATTGCAGCTGCTGCTCTCTCTCTCTCTCTCTCTCTCTCTCTCTTTTTCCCCCCGTCCCCCCTCATTCTCTCGTCTTTTCGGATCGGGATAGCGCCTCAAAACATTTCGGCAACAACAACAACAACTTGCCCTTGCATCTAGCGCCCTCCGCCCAGGGCAGCGCCTCAGAGCGCTCGAACGGGATATACTGCCAAAGTGTTGTGACCGCACACCCAACGTCCCCCGGCAAACAACGGCGAAGTGAACGACCAATTTCTGTTTCAATATCGTCTTGAGGTCAAGCAGGCGATTGTCGTCCAGGGGAGAGAGAGCTTTAACGTACAGCTCGGTTTCTAATGTCTCTTCTGAAGGAAAGCACCTGCAAACAATGCAGGGTTTACCCCCAGTATTTTGCTGGAGTTCCAGCCTGGACTATTAATATATATTATATATAATGTATTAAAGCCCTTTGCATTTTGAAACTTCACGTATCATTAAGCAGTATAGCGAGACTATCGATTAGCATTGATTTTCATTTGTTAACCCAGAGGATGAATAAATCAGCGCTGTCTTTCACCACTGTGTCTGCTCTTACCTGCGCCCACCTGAGTTTATGAGGAAGGTAATCGGCAGCACGGGGGTGGGGGGAGTGCGAGAGCTGCCCAATCATTCACTTCAAATGTATTAAATTAAATAGGGGTGTATCACAAAGGGGAGGAAGAGAGACAGGAGGCCAAGAATGATCGTGTTATTAGCTCGTAATCTGGATTGATGTTCAATGAAAGCGCAATCTGCAGCAAGGTAACCCCCCCCCCACACACACACACACACACACACATACACACACACACACATACACACACACTTCCAGAGATCTCACTGCAACAATGCAGTACATTGTCCATTGTGTTAAGGACAGGACACCAGTGCTGAGTGAGACTGGCTGCAGAAATGAGATAAGATTCTCCCTCACTTTACAGTAAATCCTGTGAAAAGGCTTCAAGACGCAACCTCCGCCCCCCCCCCCCCCCCCACCTCAACATGAATAGGCGAGAGAAAGAGAGAGAGAGAGAGCGTGAGAGGCAGCACCTGCATTCTGATCACAATGAAATAAAAGGCTTAGTTGAGGTTCAGTACCTGGCGGGTTCGCGGCGGAGTAGGTGGCTTGCCCTTTGCTGGCTGTCAGGCTGTTCTTGTCTCCGTCTGTATTTTTCCCCTCCTTTCAAAGCACCGGCCGGCATGTGAAGACCTTGTGAGTGAACGGACGTGTGTGTGTGTGTGTGTGTGTATATATATAACTGTGTGTGTGTGAGCGAGCGCGTTCTATCAGGAGCCCTGAGCATTGTGCAAAGCCCTAGATGTCGGCGAGGGAATTTCTCAAGCAAATGGAAACGCCACCTGCTGTGCATGTGTGAACCAGCGAGTTAGCAGCAACCAGGAACCGCTCGGGGTAGAGGGGTTAGGGGTGGGGAGGCATCTTGTGCTAATAGCTCGATGGTGGGGTGGGGGGGGATGTGGTTCTGGAGGGATGAGATCAGATGAGCCGAAGGGTTTTCTTCCTACATCCCCCCCCCCCCCCCCCCCCCATCCAGACCGATCTTGTGAGAGCTGCTCCTTCGCGACTGTGGTTAGTGAGTTCATCTTGTCGTGTGGTTTCCTTGGCAACTGCGGGGATGGGGGGGGCGGGAGAGAACAAAAAGGGGAGCAGAGCTTTTTTTTACACGCTGCCCCCTTCCCTCCTCCGCTGCCCCCTAAATGTTTACGGGGTTATTTGGGGCCGATAAGGGTTTGGATTCTGCCTGTACCGACCGGGGCTGTTCCTTCTACCCAACAAACTATGTTTCTCTCTCCCCCTCCCTTCCCTGCGCCCCCCCACAACCACACACACACACACACTAACAGTGGGTAAGCTTTCACCCACGACGCACACTTTTAAAGCTGCCGAGTGTTAAAATGCGGTCACTTCAATCCACAACGTGTGTGCGTGTGCGGACGCCGCTGTGTGCTCCGCTTTGTGGCATATCCCGTGACGCGCTTCGAGCCGCGATAAGGGGGCGCCCGAACGCAACCGCGAGGATTATTGACGGCGGCGATCGCGGGCTCGGAGACACGGAGGCTGAGACAAAATCGCATTTCGTGCATTTTATTTTGCAGAAGGAAACTTCCAGGTCAGGGCAAAACCTCGGGCAAGTTTCCTTACTCCACACGCCTGATAATAATCCCTCCAAAACCCAAAACACTAACAAATTGGTCATTTTCAACCCACCACTGTTTGTGGGGACATTGCTGTGCGCAATTGGCTGCCGCAAATATACAGTCAATTCACTTTACAGCCTATTCTGTGAAGCGCTTCGAGACGTCGAGAAGACGTGGAAAGCGCTATATCAAATGCGAGGATTGTTATTATAATACTATTATTGTCCGCCCGACCGACAGTTGAGAGACTGTAAAAAAAAAAGGCGTTGTCGGTCGCAAATGGCGTTTATTTGGCAATGCAGCGGTTACCGGCGGGGGGAGGGGGGGAGGGGAGGAGAGGGCCAGGGTGTACCCTGTCCTGCCAGTGGTGGTGGAGGTGGGGTTGGGGGGGGGGGTAGAGACATAGGAAGAGGAAGAGGCCATTCAGCCCCTCAAGCCTGTTCCTCCCTGCTCTACAAGGTCACGGGCTGATCTGTACCTCAACTCCCAAACCAACCCCAGTAATTGCCCCCAATTATAGCCCTCGTTTGATTAACCCCCGACCCCCCCACCTGATCCCCCGCTGACACCCCACCCTCCGCTCCACCCCGACCCCAACGGACGTCTACGCGACCCTCGGAAGGGAAGAGCGTCACCGTGTGGACCCACAGAGAGAGAGAGAGAGAGAGGCCCTCCCCACTGGTGGCTGTCACACGGTCTCGGTGCTGGTCGTCCGGCACAGCTTGCCGGCGCGGCGGAGGATGGCCAGGGCGCGGCCCCGGTGCAGGCTGCACAGGGCGGCGGTGAGGACCAGCGCCAGGCAGCTGCCCCCGAACATCACCATCTCGGCCACGGTGACCAGCAGCTCCGCCCGGTGCTCGAAGTGCGGGTCCCTGGCCCGGTACAGCGGGCGGCACAGCAGGAAGGCGTTGTACACCAGGCGGCACAGGAAGGTCAGCGTGACGGTGACGACCAGCGCCGTACCCGGGCCTGGGCCTGACCCCGAGTCCGAGCCCGGCCGCTCCTCCAGGCCCCGCCGGCCCCCACGACCCGCCTGCCAGCACGTCAGGCCGGCCAGTGTCAGCACCGGGGCCGCGAAGCCCAGGCAGAACTTCGTGAGCACGTAGCCCAGACCGGCCTCCAGCGGGTCCGGGTGGCAGTTGTAGCGGGCGCCGGGGAAGGGGTGGCGGGGCGGGAGGGCGAGCAGCCCGGCTAGCAGGGCCGAGACCATGACGGCCAGGGTCAGCCCCGCGGCCGCCGACGCGGACCCGCCCAGTGGCCGCGCGGCGCGGCTCAGACCGGCCGCCAGCGCCGGGGAGAACTGCGTGTGGAGGTAGAAGACGTTGACGAAGAAGGAGAGGGCGGCACAGCCGGCGGGGCCCGTGTCCAGGGGCTGGGGCCGGGGCAGGCCGGACAGGGACAGCAGCGCCAGGGCCAGGTGGGCCGCCGCCTGCCAGGACAGGAAGGTCTGGGCGGGCTCCAGCCTCCCACACCGCAGCCACTGGCGGGCGGACACGGCCAGGACGAAGCAGCCGGCCGCCAGCTGGACCAGGGCAAAGACCTGCACGGCCCGGGAGATCTGGTCCTGGGCCGCGATCACCTCCACGAACCGGGACGTGTCGTTGTTGTTGCCGGTGGCGTTCGGGCCCTCGGCCCCCGACATGGTCCGGACAGTGGCTTCGCGCTCTTCCTTCCCCCGCCCCCGCTCCGGTCAAACTGACACCATTTGCCGACCGACGATGGTGTCTCGCAGCCCCTCACACGCACCCTCAAACAGACACTCACACAGACACACACACACCCTCACACACACCCTCACACAGACACACACACACAGATCCTCACACACACACACCCTCACACACACACCCTCACACACACACCCTCAGACAGACACACACACCCTCACACAGACACTCACCCTCACACAGACACACACCCTCACACAGATACACACCCTCACACAGACACACACACCCTCTTGCACACACCCTCACACAGACACACACACACACACACACCCAGGTACTTGGGACCGAGCACTTGTCTTTTCTCTCTCTCTCTCTCTCTTGTCTCTCTTTATCTTCCTTTCTGAGCGCTAACGAAGCCCGGCGTTCAGTGTTCGTCCTGCGGAAAGATAAAGGGACGGATGTTTCGATCCAGAAAATAATAATAATAATTCACAATAATGATAACTGATAATGGTTATAATTAATCAGACAAATAATAAAGCATTTGCCGTCTCGTATTGCATGCGTGCGTGCGTGTCTATATGTGTATCAAGTGCTCCCAAGACACTACCACGTGTGAAGGGTGCGATATAAGTAACAATAATAATAATAATCCTTCCATTTGATATAGCGCTTTTCACGTCGGGAGGATGTCTCAAAGCGCTTCACAGAATAGACTGTAAAGTGAATTGATCGCATATCTGTGGGCAAACGCGGCAGCCAATTGCGCACAGCAATGTCCCACAAACAGTCGTGGATTGAAAATGACCAATTTATTATTGTTTTGTTTTGGAGGGATTATTATTAGGCTCTGTGTGGAGTAAGGAAACTTGCCCAAGGTTTCGCCCTCTGCCTGGAATCGAACCCGGGTGTCTCGCTTGCAAGGCGAGTGCTCTAACTGCTGAGCTACAGGACTCCACGATAACAATAATAATAATAATATTCCTAGCATTTGACACAGCGCCTTATCACTGCGGCTGAGACGTCTCACAAAGCGCTTCGCAGGCTGTTACCACCGTAAAGTGAATTGACTGCGTGTTTTGTGGGCGAAACGCGGGCAGCCAATTGCGCGCAGCAAGCGAATAGATTTGGTCACAATCGCTCGTGGATTTGAGTGACCAAATGTGTTTATTTCTTGCAGGTTTGTTGTTGTTGTTGTTGGTGTGTGGAGGGGAGAGGGGCTGAGGGGAGGTGGGCGGGGGTAAGGGGAGAGGGGGGTGTGGGGAGGGGCGAGGGGGCGGCTTTATGGACGTTTTTGAAGCTAATTTGCTTTTGACCGGACAGACCTGGTCGCTTGTTGGTGGACTGTACATGAACGGGTCGCCCAGGAGGTGGCAGCAATGTCCCTGTGTTCCCACGTTCAATGCTGAATTGTCCTCCCGTTCGACACCGAGCCTTCGAGGCGTCTCAAAGCGCTTCACAGGGTTTTACCGTAAACCGCAGGGAGCGTGCGCTCAGGCGGCAGATAAACGCACGGCAACAATTCGAGAGGAGAAAGTTCTCCCTTCTCACGACTTGACTTCGGTTTAACGGCTCATCCAAAGGACGGGACCTCCGACAACGCAGACTGCACTGAAGTGGCAGCGACGCCCCCCCCCCCCCCCCCTCCCAACAGGTAGACGGCACCTCCAACCAGACAGAGCTAGGACCCCTTCCCCTCCCCCCTCACCATCCCCGAAAGGCTCCAGCCTCCCGCTTGTGTCCTCCGATCCACCATCGACTGCCGCGCTTTCAGCCACTGCGCCCTAAAGCTCTGGAACTCTCCCTCAATCCCTTCAAGTCGCGCCTGAGGACCTTCCACTTCGACCGGGTCTGCGGTCACCTCTCCCCCCCACCTCCCCACCTCGGTGTCAGGTTCCGCCACTATCGGAGCGCTCTGGTACTCTGCCCTGCGTGAGGGTGGGCTGGTGGGGTGTGGGGGCGGCTGTGTAAATGCAAGTAGTTGTTGCCTTTCACTTTGCCAGAGGCAGGAAAGATTGGCTGTTGTACAAAACAGTCTCCGGCCTCTCTCGCTCTGAACATTGCGAGAAGTCAACTTGTTTTTTTTTAATTGTTTTTTTTGTCTCCTCCCCCCTTCTTCCCCTCACCCCTCCTCTCCCCCCCACCCACCCACCACCCTCCGACCAACGCTAGACGCAAGGTCAGAGTTCCGGTGGCCATGTGAGGGACGAGACCTTGACCAAGCCCTGCCCTCCCCAGCTCACCCAGTACCGAGAAGTTCCAGTGCGGTGGCGGATCACGTGTGGTTGTGATGTAGCAGGAGCTCAGCTCAGAGATCTCCCTCCCCACTCCTTCCTCCCCCCCCCCCCCCCCCCCCCCCCTCACCTCCACCCCTCCGGTAGTATCGGCTACAACAATAACCACAACCTGTGTTTATTTATAGCGCTGCTCCCTGTGCGCGGGGAAGGGTTCTCGGAGTGCTGAACCGTGGCGCGGTTAGAGCCGGGGAGAGAGAGAGAGAAGGGGGGAGACCCCCCACGGCACGGGTCGAAGAGCAAAGCCTTCGATTTACAGCGACGTGGCTTCTGATGGCTTCTGTGTCCACTAACCACTCGCAGTGAGCACTGAATTGACAAGAAGTCCTGCCCACACTCTGTGCAGTAGCCGTGTGTGTAGGTGTGCGCGTAAATACAGGACCTCGGTGACTCAAGCTGTTCGTGTGCAGTGTAAAAGGCTCCTCTTTGGAACAGTTACAGAGGCAATTGATGGGAAGATCTGGACTCACCTTCAACTTCTGCTATGGTCTCACTCGCTCACTTTCTTGCTTGATGGCAGCCTCCACCCTTGAGCGTTGAGGAAGTCTGAGGCACTTCCTCTTCCAGGGCCTCGCGAGCTTCAAACACACAAACAACGGTCGGTGTTCACCTCAACCAGAGAGAGCGAGATAGCAGTGGGGGAGAGAGAAAGTGTCAAAGAAGCCCAGAGAGAGCCAGGAGATCAGTTTAGTTTCCAAAACCACAGTGAAAGCAGGTCTCACTGCTCATGCCTTTTCAATGAAGGTTGCGTTTCTTCCAGCAGTTTACTTAATCCTAATCTGATTCTGTGGTCTTGGCTCGAACACACACGCACACACAGACACGCGCGGTGTTTATTCAGCGTGCAGGGAGGGATCACAGTATTGTAGAGATTTACAGCACAGAAGGAGGCCATTCGGCCCATCGAGTCTGCAACTGGCTCTCAGAGCCAAGCGGTCCATTGATTCCCACCCACTGCCTTATCCCCCGCACCCAGTCAGGCCTCTGACTCACATGCTCATCTGCGTCCCTGCTGGAGCCCGCAATGGAATCTGCCTCATCCACCTTACGTGGCAAGTCGTTCCACGCCCCAGCATTTCTCTTTGAGTGTGGGGGCAAAAATTCTCCTCCGCTTTCCTTTCGCTCTTGTGATCCTGTTGTAACTATGCTCCCCCCACCCCCCACCCCTTGTCACTGGATCTGACTGCCCTCGCCAGTGGAAGTGAACGGGATTTTAAAAGGGATAATTGAACAACTGAGGCCACATTCAATGCTGTCAGAAGCAGTGAGACAGAGAGGAATGGTTCAGGGGGTTGCACAGAGGAGTATCGGGACAGACACCAGGAAGTACATCTTTACCCTGAGAGCAATTAACAACAACAAACAAACATGATAATAATAATAATCCTTGCATTTGATACAGCGCCTTATCGCGTCTTTGAGACGTCTTAAAGCGCTTCACAGGATCTATTGTAAAGTTAATTGACTATATTTGTGGGCGAAACACAGCAGCCAATTGTGCACAGCAGCGTCCCACAAACAGCCGTGGATTGAAGTGACCAAATTATTATTATTTTTTTTCTTGAGGGATTATATGTGACCTAAGGAAACTTGCCAAAGATTTCTCCGTGGCCGGAAATCGGACCCAGGCCTCTCGCTTGCGTGTCGCGCGCTCTAACCCTTGAGCTACAGGACTCCTGCACGTTTGTATAGCGCCTTTCGCGTCGGGAGGACGTCCCAAAGCTCTGGAACGGAGCTGGGTAAAGGGAGTGGGGGGGAGGGGTAAGGTGGTTGCTTAAATTACCCCGCTTGCTTTTTTTTTGAAAGGAAGCAACCAGCCCACACGTCACGCAGGATTTTGTTTGCTGCCTGAAAGACTCCCTTCAGTGCTGGGAGCAGACGGAACAGGGAGTTTCCTGAGCAGCGCCGCTGGCTTCCTGCCCTTTTTTTTGTAGGGTTTCGAACTCGGTTCGGGAAGAACGCTGTCGGTTACACGAGCAGGTCTGAATTTGCGAAATTCCAAACTCGGCCGCTCTTCACGCGCCGACACGGCAGCGCTTTGTAACCGAGAAAACACTGCAAAGCTGCGAATCTTAAGTCGTGCTTCGTACTTACCGTAACAGCTCTCAGAGCAAGCTGTCCATCTGTTAAACCCCTCCGCTCTGCCTTATGTATGTTTTTAAGGATCGGTCACTTAATCCACTGCTGTTCGTGGGGACGTCGCTGTGTGCACGTTTCCGCCCACAACATATACTGTCAATCTACTTACAGTAGATTCTGTGCAAGGTTTATTATTATTAGGATTATCTGCGCACCGCTTCAACCCAGTAGCTTTCATACGTCTTCGTAAACAGTGTAGTGACTGCATGTGGCAGCTAATCTGTGCTCAGCCAACGCAGGTCGAAACATTGGGCAAGTTTCCTTACTCCATATTCCTTGTAGCGTATGGTGGTGAAGCACTTTGAGACGTCTCGACGACAGGATAAGGCGCTATATCAAATGCAAGAATTATTATTATTACTGCAAGTGGCAACCCCTAATAGACTTTAAATGAAGGAACAGTTTTACAAGGGGGCAGGTGGTGGGGGGGGAGAGAAGAAGGGATTGTCAGTCAGGATGAATGAGTAATAAAGAGACTAATTAGAGCAAAAGGAAGTGAATGTCGTGTGTTTGAGGCTCTGTGGTTGATGTGTAACTGCTGGGAAGTCCATTTTTTTTTAGACTTGTGCTGAGACGGCAGATGGAAGCCCGGTTTGAGATCTCGCCTGAAGGACGGGGCAAACTTTCTGCCGTTTCAGAGCCTGCAACTTCGAAGTTATGATGGAGCCATTTCAAAATTTGCTTCCTCGGAAATTGCTCAGAAAACAGTCAGTTCAGACCCAGGTGGAATTTCTGCCCTCCCTCCCCCACCCGGCCTTTCCATTCCCCTAACACGCACATGCCAAGCACTCCTCCAGCCTTTGGTTTAGTGTCACACTGGTTGCTGCTTTTGCTCACTAATCCACTAGGGGAAGCTTTCCTCCGGGTTTCAATTGTTCGAACAGTCTGTTGACAAAGTCATTGTGTTTTAAGCCCCTGAATGCAATTCCCCTCTCGCTCGCTGTCTGGATTGAGTGAGTGTGTGGATGAGTGAGTGAATCAGAGAGTGAGTGGGTGGGTGGGTGAGTGAGTGTAAGTGTATGAATGTGAGTGAGTGATTGAGTGAGTGAATGAGAGAGTGAGCGAGTGTATGGGTGAATGAGTGAGTGAGTGAGTTAATGAGTGAGTGTGTGAGTGAATGAGTGTGTGAGTGAGTGAATGTGTGAGTTAGTTTGTGAGTGAGTGTGTGAGTGAATGAATGTGTGAGTTAGTATGTGAGTGAGTGAATGAGTGAGTGTGTGAGTGAGTGAATGTGTGAGTTAGTATGTGAGTGAGTGTGAGTGAGTGAGTGTTTGAATGAGTGAGTGAGCGAGTGTGTGTGTGAATGAATGAGTGATTGTGAGTTAATAAGTGAGTGTGTGAGTGAATGAGTGTGTGAGTGAGTGAATGTGTGAGTTAGTTTGTGAGTGAGTGAATGAGTGAGTGTGTGAGTGAATGAATGTGTGAGTTAGTATGAGTGAGTTGGTGAGTGTGTGAATGGGTGAGTGTGAGTGATGGTGAGTGTGCGCGTGTGAGGGTTTGAGGAAGTGAGTGTGCAAGTGAGTGAGTGTGAGTGAGTGATGTGGATGGTGAGTGAGTGAGGAGCGAGCGAGCGAATGTGTGAGTTAGTATGTGGTGAGTTGGTGAGTGAGTGAATGAGTGAGCGAGTGAGCGAGCAAATGTGAGTTAGTATG